AATTTTTAGCCTTAAGTATCTAAACAAAAGTCATAGAGTTCGTTAAACCATAAACTCACATAAAAAGATTGCCCAAATTGGACCTCGTATGAAAAAGTTATGAATTTTCTAAGTTGCGTAACAGCAGTAGAGGGCTAAAAACTCGAATTAAAAATCAAACGATATTTAGCTAACGCAACCTAAACGAGAGTTGAAGGTCTCCACAACAGGAGTAAGATGATAAAAAGACAAACAAAAACAGATGTCGGATAAAGAAGTTATGAATTTTTAACGGACTTTAGCAGTCCCGGCCTATTAAAAACATAACATTAAAAATAAAATCAAAACTAGCCAACGGAGTCTAAATGAAAGTTGTAGATCATAGTCTCACCTACGCGTGGATATGAAGAACGCGAAAATGGAGGTCGTACGCGAAAGTTACGGAATTTAGAAGATTGAAGCAGGAATTACGCCCAGCGTACTCAGGTGCAGTGTCGAGTCCCATCGGCTGCAGGCTCTATGCCTAGCTAGACTCGAGTCGTAAGCCATGACGCAAAGTTACGCCCAACGTAACCGAAGTACGTCCAGCGTAACGCGTACGCCCAGCGTACTCCGGTAGTACGCCCAACATACTCACATTTTCAACCCTATAAATAGAGGGCATGAACTCCGGGTTTTGGCTCACTTTTCTCAGACTCTCACTCACTTTCACACACTTGTAAGCTCCAGAGGCCATCCCGATGCCCTCGATTCCATACCCGAGCCCCCGACGAAGGTTCTATGCTACCGAGATCCCCGAAAAGCTCGAAGACGCAACTTTCCGCAGTTGAAGTTCTGCACGACTCTAGTCTCACTCCATTCAAACCGAACAAGTGAGTTCATACCCCTACTTTTGAAGTCTTTTCATGTTTTAAGGGGGGAATAAAAATACAATACAAGAAAACGTATCATTTTATATAGATATAAATACAACTTCTATCGTATTCTTATTTGATATCAACATTTTACTTTACGTATCAAGTAGTATTTCACCGAGTTACCTTCACCAAATAGAACACACTTTTGAAAACAAAAACTATAATGGGTATAGTTTGTGAGTTATTCATACATTCTTACGTAAACATCTTGAAAAACGAAATACTTTTATCTAAAGGGAAATAACGACCTTCTTATTGTAAATCTATTTATACTAAGTATTGTGAGATACTCAACTTCAACATACTCTCAAGTATGCATTTCAAGTCCTGTATTATAAACCATAATCTCTTGGAGGGAGAGCGTGATATATGTGTATAGATCTATACGGGATTGACAACCCCGAACCTAAACTATTAGCTACAGTTAGACCGACAAGTCTTGGGTGACAAATGTCATAATACTACAACACCTGAAGAATGTTGTTACAGACAGTCTGTGTCAATAACATGGTTATAAGACTCACACGAAAGTATAAAAACAAGTTTGATTTACGAAACTCATGAATGCATTCAGTATTTACATTATTTTGAGAAAACATTCATCTTATTCATTTAAAGTACGAAAGATACTAACGCCCTCCAACTCTGGGAACTTTTCAAACTATAAGTGGAAAATATTGGATTTTCTGGAAACTACGTTCATCTATTTTCTTCCAAAAAGACATACTTTTTCAGTATATAAACACTTATGAACTCACCAACTTTATTGTTGACACTTTTTCGAACCCACTTGTATTTTTCCGGGAATCAGTAATACAGGTAACTACCAGCTTTTGAAGAAGGAACTCCAAGGCATTTATTATCAAACATTTTGAATCATCATATTGTAATATTCTTTTGGAATTATGTATAACGCAACAATGAACGTTTTTATTATATATATGATGGTGGTGTTACTTTCTTTACAATATTCAATTGTTATGGTACTACGTGAAGTCATCCACCCCCGAATGTTTCCGCCATTCTGGTTTGAGGGTGTGATAGAAATCTCTCCCCCCCCCCCCCCCCCGGCCACAGTCACACACACACATGGTCTTCTTGATAGATTTTCAGTTCTATAAATGAAAAGTACAAACGATCTCGGATTTCATTTATGGGATGATTTTAGCTACAATTTGATTCAACACCACCTCTACTTCTTTGTTTCCATTAACCCCTAACCCATAATAGATATGCACAAAGACATGTAAAATACTTCCTCCGTCCCATATTTATTGTCCTCTTTTAACTTTTGAAGTCATTATTATTCAACTTTGACATTAAATATTTTTATTTGTGTTATATATTACTTGATTAAACTTTAACAATGAGACATTTAAAATACAATCTATTCATATATTTTGCATCAAATATTATATATCAAAAACAAAAATATTTAAGGTCAAACTTGAAGAATAAAAACTTCAAAAGTCAAAAGTAAACATTAAATATGGGAGGGAGGTAGTAGATTTTAAAAATTGGTTGTCTGTGAAAGCCCATAAGCTTTTTTCAGATTCATAAATCAATTTCCAATTCCATAAACAAACCTAGAAAATTGATTGTTCTTGAAAACTATTCAAGAACATAGGAAAATCGATTATTTAAGACACGATGAAATACTTTTATAGTTCCAGATTAAAAAATATTTTTTCAGACTCAATGAAATAAGTTTTAAGATTCAGAATCGTGTGTGTGTATTTGTGTTGAAGAGCAAACCTAAAAAATGATTGCATGATTTAAATTTTGTGCTCTTGAGAAAGAGAAAAAGAGAATGTGTGTGTGTGTGGGTGCGTGTGTTCTTTGAATAACAAACCCAAAAATGTGAATTTTCTCTATGTGTGTATGTATGTGTATTGTTCATGAATCTAGCCACGCTGATGCGGTTTTCCATAGTTATCACCACTCGATTCTTTTTGTTGACGTTTTTATCTTGATATGAATTCATTTTTGTTGCAAGATAGCTACTACTAATATGAACCATTCAAAGATAGGAGAAGATGTTTCCTCTTCTTATGATGGTTTTAACATGAGAGAGAGAGAGAGTAACAAAATGAAAGATGGACAATATAGTCTTTTTATGTTATATTTATGCGAAAAACTAACGGTGTTAGTCATTACGGACCATTAATCCAAAAAAAAGTTGATAAGGTTAAAACCATAAGGACTACTAGTGAAATTTGATAAACCTAAGGACTAGTAATTAAATTTTTACTTTTTGTATGATCTTGTTGTTTACTCCAACAAAGAACATATACCATTTATACAAATATATATAGCTAGGGTGTGTAGAAAACTGCATAAACCACATAAACCACCCGCACCGCACAACATAATGCAGTTTAAAATTTTGCATTGCGGTTTGCGGTTCGTAATTTTTTCAAACCACACTATGCGATGTGGTTTGCAGTTTATAGTTATCAAACTGCGGTTCAAACCGCACCACACCATATTAATAAAAATTATATATATATATATATATATATATCAAAGTTTCCGATTACCAAATATTTCATTTTGTCGAATAACTTTTTCTATATCATGATGGGTAGATATGGTAATTAAAGACTTAAAAGACTATGATATCAAATTTCATAAGTTAGAACAACGTAGTAAAACATTCTTTGGTTTTTTTGTTTGCAATATCTATGCTTTTTAAAGGGTATGGAATATAATTAATAAAATTTGAAAGTGTTTAAATGGAAAGATTAACAACAAAAGTTATAAATCGGAACAACTTATCAAACCGCATACAAACCGCCCACACGAAACCGCACCGCATAATGCGGTTTGAAGCTTTTGCGGTACGGTTTGTTGTTTCCAAAAAATCAAACCGCACGTGCGGTGCGGTTTGCGGTTTCAACTCTAAACCGCACAACGAACACCCCTATATATAGCACAATAATATTTAAAAAAAGTTAAAAAAACATTAAAGAAATATTAACCGATTAACTCAAGTGCTAAAAAACACTAACATCATATATAAAATAACCTATTTACCAATGAACTCAAGCTCTAAAAAAACACTAACACAATGTATAAAATGACAGATATAGGATCGGTCGCAAAAAGTATTGAGACCGAATCAGTTTAAAAGAGACCAAACTAAAGAAGAAAAAAAAGATCCATAAAAAACGATTGTTCTAAGATTATTCTAAAAACAAATCAAAAGCCAAAGTATATATATATATATATATATATATATATATATATATATATATATATATATATATATATATATATATATATATATATATATATATATATATATAATTTTGTGTTAATTCTTTGTTTTATAATCACATCTCACCCTTTTTTTGCATCTTCTTTTTATTAAATTTGAGAGTATCATTTTTAGTAAATCTTAATTTATCATTTTGATGTTAATGATACATTTGGTAACCAAAAAAAATATACCAAAAAATACGAGCGCAAAGACTATGAGGCCGGATCGACAATCCGGTCCTAAAAAGATCTCATCAAAAAGAGACTAGACCGTAAAAAGACCGGCTCAAAAACATCCGAACTAATCTGAAAAAGGATCAAACCTCCGTAAAAAAACAGATTTTTTTCGAGAAGGTCATGGACGATCAATACATACATGTCCCATGACCCGTTATTTAGCCTTTGGGATAATATGCATGTCCATTGTCAAGTATGAGTGAAATCAACCTTTATTTAGCTTTTTTCAACAAAAAGTACAACCAATTATGATTTAGGTATAATCTCAATCTTTAACAACACATTTGTATACATCTTGTTCCGTTCACGCTTTGTTAGAAACATGAGTTCCATGAGGTCGATGTACATGAAACCCACGTTATTATAAATACATCCGAATATCATTACAAACACCACACCAATCTTATGATTGGTTTGAATTCAATTATACAAGCTCAAAAACTATATAAATAATACCAATATTATGATTGGTTTTAATTCAATTATACAAGCTCAAAACTATATATATATATATATATATATATATATATATATATATATATATATATATATATATATATATATATATATATATATATATATATATATATATAATACTTACTATCTATAAACATACATTAAAAAAGAGTTGGTGCATCACAAGTCAAAACTCCTCGGGGTAAGGGCTTCAGTTTCAAGAGAAGAAAACCTTCCCAAACTTTTCACGATTATCATCAGCTATCGATCTCAAAGCATTGGGTTCTGCATCCGCCAGCATCTTCACAACCTCTCTCATGCTCGGCCTTAGATTTGGGAGCTTCGTTGTACAAAGCAAACCGATTTTCAACACCTGCATAATGTCGTCGTTTTTATCCGCTACTTCCTCTGTCTCGCCACCACAAATTAACCTGGTATCCACAAGTTTAAGGATGTTTTCGTGGTCGTTAAGATTAGACAGCACCCAATAGACTATGTCTTTCCCTTCTCCATATTCCTCCTCTATTGCCCTTCTTCCTGTCACGAGTTCCAGCAACACCACCCCGAAACTGTACACATCGCTCTTTTCCGTCACTTTGAGTGTGTAAGCCAATTCTACAATAAAATACCAAAAAGGTGAATATTAGCTCTATATAAGTATTTGGAGTACTCTTAGATTGTCTCTGAAAAAAAATAATTAATAATTAGGAGAGAAGATTGATATAGAGTCTAATTAACATTGTATAACATTTGGAAAGAAAGAAAGAAAAACTCACCAGGAGCGATGTAACCATGGGTGCCCACAAAGCAATTGGAGTCCGACCCCAAGAGTTCCTGGTCAGCAACCCTGGCGACCCCAAAATCAGCAATCTTGGGCTCAAAATCTTTATCAAGCAAAATGTTGCTGGATTTGATATCTCGATGTATAATGGCTGGAGTACAATCATGGTGTAGGTAAGCAATCCCTTTTGCAGCCCCGAATGCAATCTTATACCTTTGAACCCAAACCAAGTTCTTCCCGACCCGACCCAACGCCTCGTATAGGTTCCCGTTGACCATATGTTCAAAAACCAAGAAGTTGGAACCCCCTTTAATCAAAGAGGCGTAAAGTTTTAATATATTCCTATGTCGGATCTTCCCAAGGATCCCGATTTCTGCTGTCATCACTTGTACCTTGTTTCCCTTCCAAATCTGCTTCACCGCAACCGTTAGCCCGGATTTTTTGGATTCGACCCGGTACACTTTTCCGGTACCTCCAACTCCAATCAAGTTTTCTTCATCCAAATCACACAGTTCGTCAGCATCAAACTCGATTTGATGGAAGTTTTCTAGTTTCCACTTTGGATTCCCCGATCCTTTCTCATCATCCAACCTGTTTTTGGCGTCAAGTTTTTCACGATGGATCTTATAATTTTTGTAACTTGCATACATCAACCCTCCTAGAAGTACGATCAGACCAAACAGTATCATACAGAACATAAGTAGTTTGCTTTTGTTGATTTCGCGAGGCTGACGTTTATCGTCACAAATGTCCAATCCAAAATTGGGTCTCGGTTTCGCGGAATTGGAATTGGAATTTTCATCGACGCAGAGTGCTTTGTTTCCAGCGAAAGCATCATCTCCTGCCATGTTTAACAGATCGGAAGGGACTCTTCCTGACAAACGATTGGCTGAAAAATCAATGGAGCTAAATCTTAAACGGTTGAGGTTGTCGGGGATTACGCCTGTTAGTAGGTTTCGTGACAAGTTAAGAGCATTTAGCGATGAAATATGCGCCAAACTGTCGGGGATTTTTCCGGTGAGGAAATTCCATGCAAGATTTAAGTCGATTAGGTTTTCACATTGACCCAATTCGGCAGGAATTGAACCGGAAAAGAAGTTGGTCTCAAGATGCAAGTATGATAACTGCTTTACATCCTTGATTTCGGATGGGATTGGACCGGAAAACTTGTTGTTAGACAAATCCAGCTTCTCAAGGCGAGTCAGCTTCCCGATTTCCGGTGGGAGTGTACCTGAAAAATCGTTGTTATAAAGTAGCAATTGAGTCAAGCTGGTGGAAAATCCGACGGACGCCGAAATTTCTCCACTAAAATTGTTATCGCTCAGATCCACCAAATCTAGAGAAGGTAAACCCCACACTCCAGCTGGGATTTTGCCAGATAATTGATTCTGATTGACTCTCAGCCTCACCAAAGATTTGCATTCAGCGTAATCTACAGGGAATTCGCCGGAAAAATCATTTCCAAGAGCTAACAACTTCTCCAGTTTACCAGAGCCACATAACAACTTCGGAAACTCGCCGGAGAATTTATTCTCAGATATGTCAATATTAACCAAAGGAGCAAGCTTTGCAAAATTTACGGGGAACTTTCCGGTGAAATTGTTCCGGTAGATGGAGAATCCTTTCAAATGTTGCATATCCCCGAATCCCGGAGGTAGTTTCCCAGAGAAATGATTCATAAAACATTGAAAAACCGTCAAATTCTTCATATTCCCGATTTCGGTAGGCAATTCGCCGTGCATCTGGTTCATGGAAACATCGAATTCTTGCAACAGGTTTAACTCGGCAAACTCCCGTGGAATTACTCCGGTAATTTGATTCCCGAAAAGCTCTATTTTCCGGAGGTTTCGCAGCTTCGTGATTTCCACCGGAAAGTCGCCCGATATTTTGTTACTCGAAAGATCTAGTGTCTCCAATTCTTTCAGATCAAATATAGATTTTGGAATTACTCCGGTTAACTGGATCCCGCCGAGATTAAGCAATCTTAAGTTCTTCAAATTCCCAATATTTTCCGGTATACCACCCTCTTCAAAGTTATTATCATTGAGGCTAAGTGCTGATAGTTCTGTCATACTTCCGACCCACGTGGGGAAATCTCCGGTGAAATAGTTATCGGAAACATCCAGAATCTCCAGCTTTTGAAGATTCGAAAGATCCGGTAAAACACCGGTAATATTATTTGCCGTCACATTCAAAACGCGGAGATCATTGCAGTTGACGAGGGCGGCCGGCAGCTCGCCGTTGATATAATTCGAAGGAATCACCAGAGATTTCAGGCTCTCAAGAGCCCCAAGCGCCGGTGAAATTTTTCCAGAGAGAGATTTGTAGTTCAACGAAATCTCCACCACCCGACCCGTTTGATTGTCACACGAAACCCCGTAAAATTGACACGGAGATTCCGTGATCTTCCATGAATCCAAGTAATTCAAAGGGTCTTTTAACTGTTTCTTGAAATCAAGTAGCGCACGGACTTCAACAGACAAAGAGGAGCAGAATACTGGCCGGAAAAAAATGCAGGCAAAGGAGAATACGAATAAGAGCAAAACAGATGTAATTTGGCGGGATGAAGGTAGTAAGGGCTGTTTTGACATTTTCGAGAATGTGCGAGGTTACTCCGGTAATTCTAGTGGAAGATGAGTGTCCATGTCCCTTATCAGCTGGCGACCTCCATTATTGGCCATGCAGGTTGCTCTGTTCTGGAAACAAATTCAATAGTGGTGATGGGTGTCAATCATTTCACTCCATATATATATATATATATATATATATATATATATATATATATATATATATATATATATATATATATATATATATATATATATATATATATATATATATATATATATAAAAAGGAGATGGTGACAATGAGAAATTGAACTATATCTACGCGATGATAATTTCTTAATTTAATTTTTCTTGATGTGCTTTAATAATATAAAATAATAATATGCTTTTAATATTGTTGGAACTGATTATCGAAGCCTTATATGTTTAGAATCATTTGAGGTCATTATTCTTTCGTCGTAATTCATAACGTTACGTATATCAATTGTGTTTTTGTTTATTCGTTCTTTTTTAATTTTAAATTCTTCATAGCTATATGTAGAAAATATTAGTTGTATTGTAGCAATGGCGTTCTCTATTATTATAGAGATAGAATAGAATTTATTTTCTTCTTTAATATCAAGCCGATGATATATATGTCTATTTTGTTCTAGATATGTAAATGCATTTAATTAACCAAAAGTTAATCATTGTTTGTAACCTTTTAAAAGTATTACTAACAATTTATAACCTTTTAAAAATATAAAGAAGATAAAATAATTAATACAGTGTTGAAAACTAAAATAGTTTTCAAAATTAAAAATCAATACATGAATGTATGATTACACAGTACAACTTAAATTGCAGAAGGTACCGAGTCACACTAAGACTCATTCATATAAATTTTTAAAACCACTACAAAAGATGAAGAATATTTGATTCAGGCAGTAAAATTAATCCAAAACACATGTACAGTAACTTGATTGAATATGAGACAAGACTGAGAGTCATGCTCTGTTTCATATATATATGTGTTTAAACAGGTGATAGATTCAAAGGAAATATTAATAAGTAAAAACCAAAAACAGAAACTGAAGAATACAAAGAGGAGCTCTGACCTTGAAATATGGTAATGTCCTAATTGATTCCTGAAATCAAAATTGAAAGGCTTATGGAGTGTGCTTCTTGCTCTCTATTCCTCTTTTCAAGCCATCAAATATGAGATCGAACTTTTTGAAATATGTTTAGGAAGAAGAGAACATCAGTTTAGGGTTTTGAAGAATGTCGATTTGAAGATCAAAACAGGATTTTATTGAAGAAATTCGATGAAATTTGTATTGGGATGGAAGCGAATGAGAGAATTTCAAGAAATCTTTAAACCAAAAACAGAGGGTTATGGGAAAGAGATAAGGAGAGATGAATTTATGAATAATAATAATAAAAAAAGAGTGGTGGGATTGGGGCAGCCCTACCGAAGATTGAAGTGAAATAGAAGAGACGACAAGAGATAAAAGAAAAGACAAAGAAAGGGATTGGCTGTGAAGGTCTTCCAAATTTTAAGAGATGCTTTGATAGTTGATAGCCACGGATTAGACAGAAGCTTCTTCGCTCACTTCTCTTAATTCTAATTTATTTATAACAAAAATTAACTGATTTCGCGAACATCTATTCGAACTTGAGTGATTTTTTTACACCAATCTATTAAAGTGTTTACTGAAGATTCGAGCTGCACGTGTAAGTTTTTCACATTTCTATATGGAGCATGGAGTCACTTTAGATGGAACATAGGTTCAGTGAAGTCACCTTAAAAAATGAGTAAATTACATGAATGTTCCCAACGGTTTAAGGTAATTTGTGCGTTTGGTCATTAATTTGCTTTTTTAACTTAGATTGTCTCTACTGTTTGTTTTTGTTACGTGCTTGGTTCTTGTTTTACCTAAAAAAAACTATTTTGTCATTGATTTTTTAATTTATTTAAATAAACACACCCCCAACCTCATCCCCTTCACCTTATTTTACTGATCCTACAATTTTTCTCTATTTAAATAATAATCATTTTAGGTAAGATAGGAACCAAGCACGTAACAAAAACAAATAATAGGGATCAAGTACGTAACAAAAACAAACAGTAGCGACCTTCTGAATTAAAAAAATATGTTAGGAACCAAACGTGCAAATTATCTCAAACCATAAGGACCATTCGTGTAATTTACTCAAAAATGATGGATGAGCGGCTTAGTGAACTTGTTGCTCGCTCTTCTCTTAGTTTATAATATATGTACAAAACTTGTACTAAAGCGTGTGTAGATTGACTCTAATTTGAGAGATCCATTTTTCTTAGGCCATTTCATTGAGGATGAAAATAAAAGAAAAGATAAGACAAAACTATATAAATGATCCTTATGGTTAGTTGAAAATTTTCATTTTTGTCCAAACAAGTTTGGACTAGCACCAGAGGTCCAAACTTTTCATTGTGTTGCGAGTTTAGTCGGTTTCATAATTGGAAGTGTGCGAAATAACATTTTTGTGCTCTTTATTTGGTTTTTCCTTTCCTTTTCTTTTATTAATTTTGTATTTTTCTAATTAATAATTAAATAAAATAGAAAACAAATACAACACTACCCCACCCATACTCCCTCCATAGCTTATTTTTTTATGTTTCTCTCCGCCGAGAAAATTAGAACACCCGTCGGAGCTATCACCACCACTGGAGTTACCACTGTTGGCTTCGTCTTGGTCCTTCGACGACACTGACGATCTGCCATTCTCCCACCCAAACGACTCTGTAACATGTTGGGGTTTGTAATGGTGGCGAGCTGAAACCCTAGTAGTGGAGAGAATAAACTTGACCTCATCGACGGAGGTTTGGTGACCACCATCTCTTTACGAAGCCTTTTCTCAGATCTTACAACGACAAAACCCTTTTTCTTTACGAAGCTTTGGTGACGACGATGACGACTTCCTCTCCCTTATTCTCCAATGATTGCGTCGAGCTATGAGTTTGGACATAGACGGCGGCGACGATGCTCTTCTAATTTTTTGGAATCCTGTGGTGCCGGAAACTCGAGCCACAAACGAAGGCAATGACAATATTCAAAACCTTTGTAACGCCATGTTTTGAGTCGCTTCTCAATCCAGGGAATTGACCCTATAACATCCTGGTCCTTATCATTTCTTATTTCAAGGTTGTGGGTCGGAAGTCGATTGTGTAAAGGCTTTGAGCCTTAATGAGGTAATGTTTAGACCTTTTGGAAGGAGGCAATGATGGTCTCGAGATCTTAACCTTTGAATTGTGTTTTGCGCTGAAGTGTAGAAAAGGGAAAGTCATATGTCGAGGTCTTACATGAAATATGGATTTTTGTAAAAGAAGGTTTTAGTCCAGGATATCTAGATAATATTGTGGGGATCTTTAATACCTTTATGTGGATATAAATATCATCGAAAATGGAGTTGGAACGAAGAAGTTATAACTGTTAGAAGTTAAGAGGGTTTTGGGTTTAGCCTAGTACAATGGGCGTATAGGATGTACGTTGGGCGTACTAGGCAAGGATGATCGCCGAGATTCTACCTGGTACATTAGGCGTACTAGGAGTACATTGGGGGTACCCGATCAGAAGCTAAACTCTAATTTTGGATTTTTGAGCCCTATTCAAGCTCCTTAAATTTCGCAAACCCTTTCCATTCTCAAACTCCACCTATCCAATGTCCTCCTTTGAAACTCTAACCCTAGTTTGAGTCTTGTGAGGAAGGTTGGAGACTTGGACTTAATGGATTAAGTTGAGAGAGATGCACTCTTGGTCCCTTTTAGACTTAAAGAATAGATCTTTGTTGTTTGGACCAACCTAATGGATAAAGTTGGAAACTTTATCCATCATGGAGCTATTATGGAGCATCAAACATTGGTATAGAAACAAATGTTTCATAAAAATCTAGAACATAGTTCCCCGTCAATTCCTTAATCAAAATTTTAGAAAATTGGGTTTTACTTTCATCACGGCCGCATGATAGCAATTCATTAACACAGAGTGTTGATATGTCTAAGTCTCGACTGGTTTGATCAAAGACCTCTTGGACATATGTCATTGTGTATGAAAAGTGTAAGAACTTTAGGATGAAAAAGATTGGTTTGAAGAACTCAATTGTACCTTTGTTGTGTTTGGACCAAATAGAAAACTCTTAACTCATTTGAGAAGAGTTCGGTAGCTCAGAAGACTAATGTGAATACAAGCCTGATTGGGAAGAAATATTTCGTATGCAAAAATTTCATTAAGGCTTTCAAAATCACACATTGAGTCAACGGAGGCATGAGTCGACATGTTGCAGCATGCTTCTAGGGACAACCTAACTAGTACAAAATTTCGAAAATATACTTTGCCCTAGAAATGCTAACATGCATCTTGAAAGATATTCTTGATTTTTGTACACTAGAAGAAAAAAAAATACAAAAGAACAAACATCTAAAAACTCTTTTTGGTCTTTTGTATTTATTATTATTATTATTATTATTATTATTATTATTATTATTATTATTATTATTTTTAACTTTTTGTGTTTTTGAAATTTTCAAAAATGAAGACAAATAACAAAAGGAAAATATTTTTGTGTTTTCAAATTTTTTCGAAGTAAAAAAACGAAAACTAAAAGTTTACCAAACGATCGAATCTTTTCTTTCCCAAATGTAAAAAACGAAGTGTATCGAAGCGTTGACTGTGAACAGTAACCGTGTAACACCCTGATCTGAAAATATATACTTATGGATTTAAAAGGCCAGGGCTAAGGGTGTGTCGGTCTTTTATGGGTTTTGAGTTTTTATTCAAGAGGTTTTTGTAACACCCAGAATCAAAAATACCAAGAAAAGAAAAGGAAAAGCTCTAAGTTAAGAGTCAACTCGTCGAGTCTAAGGAGGAACTCGACGAGACGGAACGGGATCCGAGGCATAGAATAAGTGACCGACTCGGCGAGTCGGCTAGTGGACTCGGCGAGTCTGGTCTGGACGAGAAAAACCCTAATCCCGAGGGTTTTGCCCTATTTAAAGAACATTACATCCCTTCCCCAGCCTCTTTACCACCCTTTTGAGATCCAGAAACCTTAAATCGTGAGTGAGAGTCCTTGGAAGCAATTTGGAGCTTAGATAAGTGGTTTTTGTGAAGATATCTTGAAGATCAAGAAGCTTGGATCAAGGGGGTTTACAGAGATTTGGATTATTGTTCAGTGGGAGGTAATCTTGGAGGTAATAAGCTGTTACCTTCACCGTTTTTGCATCTAGATCTATTCTTGAATGAGATTTTGGGGCTATTTTGATAAGATTGAGATCTATTTCGGGTTTCGGGCTTAGATCTGAGGTTGCTACTTCAGATCTAGGGGTGTGATGGTCCAGAATGTCTTAAAGCAGCAGTCAATGAGTTAGTGGTGAAGTCCATTTGTCTTAAACCCTAGCCCTAGTGTGTTTTGAGCCTTTTGCTCCTTGGTTTCACGTAAAGTTTGCAACTTTACATGGGGGTTAGACTTTAGAAGAGTGGATCTATGGGTTGGAGCCCCTACATGGCTCGAAAATCCATTTTATGGATTGAGAGCTGAATAGACTCGACGAGTCACATGGGCGTACTCAACAAGTTGTATGAACATGAGCATGGACTCGGCGAGTTAAAGAACAACTCGGCGAGTCTGTTGAAGATTGCCTTGGACTCGACGAGTCTGTTCTTGGACTCGGCGAGTCTAGTCGCAGAACCTCAACCTTTTCTGCTTAAGACGCAGATCAGTGAGTTGAGTGGTGACTCAGTGAGTTGGATAGGATGGGAATCAGATATCATTGAACTCGACGAGTCTTGGGATGACTCAGTGAGTTAAGTTGTATTTTGAGAGTTTCAAAGTTTAAGAACTCGGCGAGTCTATGAGTTGACTCGACAAGTCGAGTCAACTAGAAGGTTGAATTTGACAAGGACTTTGACTTTTACCAGAGTTGACTTAGTTTGACTTCTAGAGCTCAGTTTGGAGCTAAGTGTTATATTGATATTAGTAGTTCCGGGAGCTAGTGGAGCAGCGGTTGGAGAGTTGTCGGACAGCAGCCAGAGGGTTATCAGCAAAGTTCAGCAGGGCATGTGAGTATCCCTTTTTGTGAAAGGGTCTACGGCCACAATGCCGACCTATGTAGTTATGAGTAGGAAGCCCTGGGGGTTAGCCTTAGGCACAGTATGTTAGTATGACATTCGGGACTAAGGTCCAATGTTAGCGAGCAGGTGCCCAAGGAATGGTTTGTATGATAGTTATACTTGTTGTCTGTGTGATACATGTATGTGCCTGGTAGGGAGGTGAGTGTGGGAGAGGTACCCTATCTCACCAATAGCAAAGTGTGGACGGTGTTTCATACATCATTAGCAGTAGAGCGGGGGCGAGGCCCAAGTAAGGAAAAGAGTGAGTGTGGGCTGGGCCCGTATCTTACTGTCAGTAAGAGCGCGGACGGGGTTCCATGATTCATCAGTAGCAGGACAGGGGCGAGCCCCAAGATAGACGAGGCATTAGTACAGTAATCTAGTAGAGTATGTTAGTTATGTGTTGTAATATGATTGTATGATAGTATATGTGAGCGGTCGGGTTCCGGAGACAGGCGGTGCCTAAGGAAAACAGATATGTACGCCGAGCGGGGCCTGGTGGCGGACGGGGTCCGATAGTGGGCGAGGCCCAATGTAGCGGACGGGAGCCCAATATGTGGTTTTGTGCTTAGTTTATGTATGGCATGTATGAATCAGTAGATGTGTATGGTATGCGGTAGGTTGGGGAACTCACTAAGCATCGTGCTTACGGTTTTCAGTTTCGATTTCAGGTATTCAGTTTTCAGAGGAGGAGCTCAGGAGTGTTGCAGTGCACACACCATGACAAGTTAGCCTGGAATGTTTACTCTGATAATTAAACAAGTTTTTTGGAAATGAAACTATGATTTTTCATATAAACCCTTTTTGTATGTTTGAATGACTTAACACTATGAATTAGTATTGTTTTTAAAAGAAACTTTTGGACTCGAAATTTGGGATGTTACAAGTTAGTATCAGAGCCTTGGTTTGAGGGATTCAGGCACACTCTTGGGTGTGTCTGAACTCAAACTGAGGAAGTGGTATAAAATTTTTCCAAAAGAAAAACCATATTTATAAAAGGATTTTGAGGAAAGAAAAGGGTTTTAGAAAAAGCAAAAGGAACTTTGAAAAGAGAAGAGAGTGTGGTGCATGCAATCAGCCGAGTTCAAGTAAGTTCTCCCAAATTACCCATACAAGTTTATGTTATGATATGATTATGTGATCAACATGCTAGGTTTAGGGCTAAGGATCTAGGAGGATGCCTTATGTGCCTGTTATATGCGCTTATTGAGCTATATGCTAGCATTGGTTAGACATTTGTAGGATAGTCTGTTTAGGTTATGCCTGATTATGTGAGCTTATATTGTATGCTAGTACAGATTCTTGTATTTTGATAGAACTGCTTAATTATGTTATGGTTAGGTTTCCCTTTGGTCTGAATGATGCTTTCTTTGTGCTTCGTGGGATTCTGAGTGATGGGAGTTAGCTACTAGATGAATATATTAAGTCACATGTGATAAGGGTTGAATAATCTCAGAGTTCTGTATTTGACCCTACTGCGCAACTCTTGTTTGAGTCTTAGCGTTGTAGGGACGAGTCCTTTACTTGAAGGATTATCTGAGCCTCGTCACATGTGATGTTATTCAGGTAATGGTTGATTGGCATTATGAGGAAACTTTCAGCAAATGAGGACTGGTTGGGTCGGAGGTTTCCCTAGGATAGGCCTAGGATGAGTTTAGTGTTGTGAGCAGTGGTAGTCGTGCAAGGGACTTGGTGGAGTCGAGGAAACTATTGAGGAAAGTACAAATAGA